ACCTAGAAAATTTAGATATAAATATTATAAGAAAAATATAATAATCAAGAACAATTTCAGAATTTGATAAATTTAACTTACAGAAGCTACTAATTTTTGCGATCCATTTATCAATGTCATCATAATAATTCTTCATTGTGTTCCAGCTGCGGTACGCAGGTAAGGTTGTACTGGCCCACATTATGTCAGAAATAGAAACATCATTTTTTATGTGATCTTGTCCGCCAAATTTTTCGATACAGCGTATATTCAAATTCGACCAAATTTTTGTTTCAGTGTCAGAAGTAGAAAGATTATTTATGGATAAATCACTGTTTAACACACGGGCAAGTTCTGAATCGTTGGGTTTAAGATATAATGACGAGCTGGGAGAGGATTCTAGGCACGTGTGTTCGGGTGTTGAATATTGTAACAATTCTCTTAATGATTCATTCACGCTACCAGTTGTACCAGATGTAGTTGAACGTGTATTTTCTGGCTATTATTAGAAAATATATAAATAAACAAATAAAATATAAACAAAATTAAGATATAAATATTAAAATTCATTCACATATTTACCTGTAAACGAATTACTTCGTATCTACCTTTATATAATTCATATAGCGATTTGTAGCGTTCAAGTTCAGCCAAATTACCCTAAAAAGTAATGAATTTTGTTCAGAAATGAAATCATTTGTTCTAAAATGAAATGGTTCTGATACCAAGAGAAAAAAGTGGTCCAGAAACGAAAAGTGGACAAAATTGTCCAGAAACGGAAATTCAAGGGAAAAAAGTGGAACAAAAAAAAATGGACAAAATTGTCCAGAAACGAGAAAAAGGTAGAACAGAAAAAAGTGGACAAAATTGTCCAGAAACGAGAAAAAGGTAGAACAAAAAAAAAGTGGACAAAATTGTCCAGAAACGAGACAAAAAAAGTGGACAAAATTGTCCAGAAACGAAAATTCAAGGGAAAAAGGTGGACTGAAAAAAAAAATTATAAGCGAAATCAAAATCATTTAAAAAGGGCCTTATGGAATACCTTATTGATGAATGTAAAATCTAAAGCCGATTCTTGCAAGTCAAAATAAACGCGTCCCTCATTCTTTTTGAAAGATAATCTTACTTTATCTTGGTCAAAATTACATGATTCAATTTTTTTATTAGACTTAGTCCAAATAATTGACAGTGCTAACGAAATTAATTCTTCGTCTTCAGGCAATAGCTCAACTTTTTTTCCACGAATCTTTAAATTAAGAGCCGAAGAAGGTGTTTTTGACATTTTAATAATAAATTGTTGAAAAAAGTAAATAGAAAAAGAAGAATTTAGATACAATTGTTTTGATGTTTTGATGCATTATAAATTGATTATATTATAATAGAGTGAGTAATAATACTAAATTTGATGATTCGATATAAATATATAGATTGAGTAATGATCGTGATACAGTATTTAATTGGCTAATTTGCGGATTTTTTACGGATTTGTGGATAATTGCGGTTTGCGGATTTGCGGATATTTGGACTTCTGAAATCCGCAAATCCGCAATATTGCAGATCCGCAATTAATCCGCAATTGCCCAATTACGGCACCATCCTTAGACATAGTTAATATCAACATTATACCGCCTATTAGTAACGAAAGAATACTAGGTATATATGTTAACACTAACAACAATTTCACATTCACCATTAACAAAATCAATAGATTATTAAAATATACAAGTTCTAACTTGCGAAAGAAAAGAATTACACACGATCATGTTATTTACGTTATTAATAAGGTTCTTATACCAAGGATCGAATATTTATGTCAACATTTCATCATTTTACCTCATATTTGTAATAATTTTAATAGAACATTACGTTCCATTTATAAATCTTCCTTATTATTATTACGTTCTATTTACAACACAATTATCCATAATCAAATATATCCTAATATTTTAAATATTTGGGATCACCAATTTTTATCACAAACATCACTTTTAAACACACAAACAAACAGCCCTTTAACACGTAATATTATAGAATATCTAATTTTATATTCACAATCCAGATTATGGACCAATGATCTTTTTTTTACCACAAAATATTTAGATACATCTTCTAAAAAACTAAATAGAATAGAAAATTTATTATGCATTATGCATAATTATAAATTAGAATTTAAATTTTCTTTCAAATTTAACACAAAAGGAGGAACCTACCCCATATCACCATATCTTATACATTCTAATCAATTTTTTAATTTTGTAAAATCGTTAAAAAACAAAGATATATTCTTTCTTGAACAAATTATTACCGTAGATGGCTTATTTCTCAAAACATGGAAAGAAATTAAAAAATCTCTTACCAACAAACAAGGTCGATCACCAGGATGGTATAAATATCTACACGACAACATAGTCATCAACCAACATAATCTACGCCTCAATTTTGACTTACCTCCAGTCAAAACGCAAAATCCGTTGATCACACGTCCTAAAATTATTCCTCAAAGTACAAATACTACACGAATCAAAAATATATGGATAGCATATTGGTGCCCTCACACTAATAATGTAATCTTTGGGAGAGTCATAGAAAAACAACACTTTTATCATCATCACCAAACTATTACTTTCGAACATTTTACGCATATTACTGATTCACACCCATCACATTCGAATTTAACTCCACGTTCACGTCCTACATACTTATCTAAATGTAATGGATGTAATTTGTCAGAAATTTGTACACTTAATAATAGACATTCTAACACTTGTTACATTACCTCACTTTCTGATTCAACTATAATAATTAATATTTCGAAAAGCAATTTAAATTTTCAAAATTATAACAAACCCTATTACAAATGTAATCAACAATTTTCTACCATTAAACAAAAAGTTATTATAGATTTTAATATAAGAAATACACGCCCCTCAAACGCCAATTTTATACCTAATGATCCTTTATTATACCGATCTAATTTAAAACAACAAATAGATTTACAAAATATTCACCTTATTAATCGTAATCTTATATTACAATTAGTTATTCCCGATTCTTTACATATACCTTACTAAAAATTACTTCATCACTTTCATCTTATACTAATCTTGAATTTTATACAGATGGATCGCTTAATAGAGACAATGAAATCCCAATTATGGGTTATGGTTGGATATTTACATCCAACCTTGCAGATAATATTAAATACTCAGGATCATGCAAAGAATGGCCAAGCTCATCAAAAGCTGAACTAGTAGCCATATTAACATCATTAATAGTATGCCCTCCTAATAGTAATATACATATCTACACCGACTCAGCAAGCTGTATTGCGACCTTCAATTCACTATATTCCCCAAAATTAACAGCCAGACGATTTCAAAAATTGAACAATTGTGTCTTATAAAATACGATAAAACATATTATCAACCAACTGAAATTGAACGTTTCATTATTTAAAGTCAAAGCACATTCAGGACATCCTTTAAATGATGCCGCCGATTTATTAGCGAAAGAAGGAACTTCATTTAAAGAATTCTTTCAAATTAACGTACAACACCTTACCACTCAACCATGTCATTTGACATTCAACGACTCTATTATTATAGACTGCAATATACGTAAAACACTAAAAAGAATTATTAATTTCCAATATTTCGAACAACATCTATCTCACCAAAACTTACACAAACTCAAAGATTACACCCTAGATAATATCATCGATTGGGAATTTTCGCAACTATGGTTCAAATATAACCCTTTCATAAAACCCACCAGCGAAAAATACTCTAAACACGTCAGTTGGCGTATTAAATGTTCTAGTAACAATTTACCAACACTGGACATTCTCAATCGCAACTATCCAGAATTACTCAAAGATAATAACACATGTTTCCTCTGTAATTCTTATATAGAAACAAACAACCACCTATGGAACTGCCCACAAGTACTCTCCATCATTACACCAATATTCGCCACATTTTACGAGAAATACAAAACACTTATCACATCGGAATCTACTTCTTTATATGCGTTATATTCAGATCATATTACGCGTAATCCTATTTTCAAATGGATCAAAAAACCCCTAATCAGATAAAGGATATTCCTCAACTACACAGCCTACTTTTGAATTTTGTCCCATCGGACCTCACATACCCATTCAAAGCAGCAAAAATCAATAAACATACGACAAAAAAAAATTTATTAAAATTTTTATTTGAATTACATCGAGAATTATACGAGAAAATTTGGAAATATAGAACTCTTCATTGGAAACAAATGAAGAAATCATTAAACCTATCGAAGAAATCATTTATCAACTATCGTCATAACTTTCGTCAAGAAAATCAAACGAATTCGCAATCACGTACGACACCCACACCACGCATGGATCAAGGCTATCATTGTCCTCTCAATGATACGAGAAGACTAATAGATAATAATAACCTTTGGATATATTTAACGTCATCCAATTTTATGCATAATTTACCATGGCTATCATCTCTTAATGATGATCTTTCGCACTTTCATTCATCTATATATAAAAATTTATTTTTATTTCATATTTAAGCCCAACGGGCTATAATCTCTAGTTACCAAACTACCTACTTATACTTTTATTAATCTTTCTTTTTATAGATACTTAGGGTTTTTATTAGGTGCTTTATTTTTCTCTTTTTGTTTGAACCCTTTATCAGTAGCGTAGTTTTACTGTTAGAGTAGTGTCGCCCGGAGGGTGAGGTCCTTTGATAAGCTCAAGGGATGTATAGCCACAGTACTCATATTTGTATAGTTTCTTCTGTATAGTAGTTTACTTCTTATATGTTTTTGTCATTGGTTACTCCTCTCTGAAATAAAATAAAAATAAAATAAATCTAGCTCCATTGGAGGGGCTAATGGTATGTTTGAAAATTATTTCAAAATTTCAGTTATTTTAATTAAATAAACAAGTTTTATTAACCGTTCCTTTTTTTTTGGTAGACTTCGCCTTGCATAATTCTGGACTCTTGGACTTGGGTGGTATGTATGGAAAAACATCTACTAGTCCACCCTTTTCCAATCATTACGCGAAAATCGATTCAATTTTGAATGTTCCTCAAACATACGACAATGGTGATAGACCTCAATCTGATGATTGTAGGGAATCTGCCATCATTCATAATTCTCAAACGCATGATGGAAGAACATCTTCTAGCCCACCCTTCTCCAATCATTACGCAAAAATCACATCGATTTTAAATGATTCCCAAACATACGATAACGGTGATGGACCTCAGACTCACGGTGGAGGGGCATTCGTTACCTTCCCTAATCCTCAAGCACATGATGAAAGAACATCCACTATCATCTTTAATCCCCAAACATACGGTGGGAGGGTATCTTCTAGTCCCATCCTCTTGCGTTACTCATTTAATTATTATGCAAAAATCCCATCGATTTTGAGTGGTCCTCAAACTCTTCCATCGTTCCCGTGGTTCTTAAATAATCCTAATGAAACTAATGATGTTTCTCTTTCACCTATTTACAATAATTTAACACATCAACAAATTCATTTACGTACTCTTGAACCCGATCATAAACCGGATGATCCAAAATTATCGTTTCGGTTATAAATAAAAGCCTTTTTAACTTCCGATCTGTGGAATTGACTTTTGGCTAATGATAAATTTAAAACCAATGATTGGATGGGAAATAATATCACATGCGCATGCGAAATTTTCATCTTATCAAACAAAATTATACTCAATTAAAAGCTCCATTTGATTAGAATAGTATTAGAACTTAGTAATAGAATTTCATAAAAAAATAGATTTAATTTTAGATTTATTAAGTTTTTAATGTATTATTTAGATTTTAGAATTTTTACTTGTTTATTTTATTTTTTATTTTTGAAATGTAGACAAGAATAGAAGCTTATAGTGAAAATCTATCTAAAAATATTCAAATCTATAATATCTTTAAGATCTAACTCTCCAGAAGCCTGAAGGAATCGTCCTTCCTGTTATTGTAACCAAGATAAACAGAACTACAAAATAACGGGATTAACCAAATTATTAAAAGAAGTGCTAGAATAAAATGAAATACAGAATCTAAATGAAAAAAAGTAAAAGAAAAGAAATCTAAAATATTTCAGTGATCTATTTATTATAAATGAATTCATATTGTTATGCTGTTTAACATAAGAAGTTCAATACTAGTCCAATCCCCAAGTGTAAATAATTTGAGGTAGCATAAATGACTAGTAGACCTATTGTTGTTCGTGCGTGTCCTTGAGTTAGTAAGTTCTGTCGTTAAGGAGCCGTAGTATAACAAGTATAACATCGTTTGCGTTCCTTGTATTTTTTGATAAAGCTGTAAACTAGGTTTGTTAATTCTTGAGGTATCAACTGATGTGATGATCGTTAACGACTTCCTTGAAGAGCGGAGATCAATTTAACACTACGGGTAAGACGGAGTCTAACGCGTCTGCCGGAATGTATACTTGTAAAAATAATTTCTGAGAGCGTATCATACGGTTAACATCTGATAATAAGGCTTGACAAAATCCCAAGTGTCTATTTGATTCTTTCTCTTGGATGCATAAAGGACATAAAATGTCGTCGGAAAGATACAAATTTGGATAGCGTCTTTCAGTCTTTGTAATATGTCCCCGCTGGAAGGATTTTGTTGAGGAGCTTGATACAGAAAGTTTTTCTTTTCATTACATCTATCTTCAGTTATTTTTGATTCTAACCATTGTTCTGTAAGAGTCCCGCCAGTCAATTTCTGTTATGTTAAATTTTTAAATATAGGAGAATAGATGTATTGTTGAAGAATGAAGAAAAAGTGAAGGCTTCTGTAATTTGTTTGGCCCATTTGTGTATGTCTCTGTCTAACGGACCATATTGTCCCAAGAGCGCATCAGGGATGATATATATCGGGAGTAGAGAACTTGCTAACTCGTCCGCCATGTTGGTGTATTGATCATTAGAATAATTTTTATTAAAGAGATTCGGAGACGTTTCAAATCGATCATTTGTTTTATGAAACGCTAAATTAAATGAGAGTCAATTTTTAATTTTTTCTTTGAGAAGCCAATGTGTTGTTTATGTAATTATAGGCCAAAATACAATTTGCTGAATCCTGTATATATAGTAACTTTACTATAATGTGAACACGTTATTAATGCTGTTGCTATTGCCATAGCTTCGGCCTTGGTCGAGGAGGACGTGAATGTAGAACTTTCTTTGAAAATTATTCAATCCACCCAAATCCTAATTTTGATTGGATAATGATCGGACCGAACCGTTAACTTCTCTAGATATAATGAACTCCTGGTTCACCAAAATTTGTTTATTATACCGATTTTTATATGTTCATACTTCATATATACAATAAGGATAAACTCTTAAAAAATGGATTCGTTATATTACATATTTACATAGTCATTACAATATATCAAGTTCTGAAAGTAATATTTAATATATTGTTAATTCAAGATGTTTAATTCGTATTACAGTATATGAAATTATCCATCTAAAATAATATACTATATATATAAAATACTAGAAAACTTCAAAAATTAAAAAGAAAAAAAGATCAACCCATTCTTTTTTTTTTCTTTTTTTTTTTTAAAAAAAAAAAGATGTCATGCATGCATTATATTTTACTGACTATATGTATAAACATCAATGCCTGATCATATCCTAATAAACATATGTTACATAGTACAAATCCCGTTTTCTTCTGGAAGATCCCCAAAGCTTTTCAAAACAAACATTCTTTACTTCGGGAGATTAAATAATACTCCATCAAAGAGTTTATAGAAGTGATGAAAATCTTTCCTGTCGTTATGTAAAGATTATGAAAAAATTAAAGAATGACATGGTATTTACAACGAATCCATCAACGATATAATTCTTTATTTATTGTCCGAAGCGTTAGCGAAGGACTATTTACTAGCAAAATTTGGTTTTGTCCCTGTCACAATCGACAATTTTATTTCCTATTTTTGAATGTCTATTAGACCCCTGAAATATGCCAAATAAATAAATGACACGTAGATCACTAAATCACGTAACGCTTGCAACGCGAAGGACTTGAACGGGAAAATCCAACTCGACCCAGATCGTATAAATTAAAATTTAATTTTTTAGGGTTTTTTTTCTAGTTTGAATTTATTTTAAATTGATGAAAACTTTTCCTCTTTGATAATGATGATTTAGAATGCTGAGGCTGTAGGATTTTCCCAGCGTAACCTGAAAAAAATGTCACGAAAAATCACGTGAGATTTTTCATCACCGGTGTCACGCCCTTCCTTGTTTCCATTTTTCATAAGTTTCTGGAAATTTTTTTAGTAAACAAAATCCTATTCGTCACGCACTATCCGTCACATGAGCGCCACACTTACTATCAGTCAAGTTGCGTAATGCCGGCCATTTCGTGACATTTTTTTTTACGCTGGGGTGGCTGTAGTTACTGCGGCCATTGCGACTTGCAACAAAATATAAAATATCGAATTTATTGAAAAAAAAAAATCGGTAAATTGCGTTTTGAAAATATGTTGAAACCTTTTGAAAAGCTGGTTTGCTATTGCGAAAGAAGAAGTAGAAGGAGAGAAAGAAGAAGAGAAGGAAAAAGTCAAGAAGGAAACGTTCAAACGTGATTTTTTGCATAACAGCAACAATAACGTTTACCGAAGTAAATCTGCTGCGCTGATCTATTATTTAATCTTTTAAGAAGTCCTTTTTTTTTATTATTATTAAGTACTTTAATTTTGTTGTCAAAATTTTTTCTTATATTTTTTTTTGTCAGTTAATTCTTTGAACTGTTTTTTTTCCTATAACAGAAAATGATTTATAATTTTCCTGTTACTTATAATAACTTTTTATTTTACAATGAGGTAATCGAATTTGATTTATCAAATAAATTATTAGAAAGATAATTGAATTGATAATTACTCTACCTTAAATGAATATTTTTGAGGATCATTTAACCTTTCAAAATCGTATTAAATCGGGTTAAAACTTAAAATGTTTATATTGAGAAATACCAATTTCATTTTTTTTTATAAATTTTTGATAGTTCTGAGCTGTAAATTAAAATAAATCAAATATCCTTCTCAAAAAGTCAAAATCAAAAATAAAATATCTAAAAGGGTAACTTATAACACTTCATCTCTCGCTCCTAGAAATCCATCCCAATTCGTTTGATTATTTAACAAATAAAATAGAAATTACTGTACTTCAAAATTAAGTTGCCCAAATATATTACCTCAAAAACCATTCCAAGAAACTTCCTAAAATATAAATATTATTCTTAAAAAAGGAGTTGAACGAACATACTTCAAAGAATCTATATAACATGCTCCTAAAAAAGGAATAACAAAAACAACCAATAAAATAAGTAAAAGTGAAAATTGAACAAATACACCAATAAACTCGTTACAATAAACTGTAGAATTCGTCCCTAGAAAAAAGAATGACCGAAAATGTCTTATGAGTATGGACCGGTCTAAAACTGAACTTATTTTAAAATCCTTTCACCTAAACTAAGAGTAATGTATGCCAATTTTTGTGACAATAGTAAGTTAAAAGAAAGTTTATCCAAAATTCGCAAATGACCAATTCTAAAACTTAATCAAATAATCGGCACGCATACTACATCATATTAGGAAAGTTCTAGACCAGTCATGTCTCCTGAAGTAACACAAATCTTACATACGAACATGACTATCATAAGTTACGTTATTGACGCGTTTATTGATAAACAGACATTGCAAATCAATTACGACTGTATAACAGTAATGTGGACCATTATTAGAAATATGAAGCAATTGAATATTTGTTTTTTAATAAAAATACAAATATGTATATATATATCATTTCAATACCCACCAGTAGTTAATTTTTCTCTTTTATTTTCATTGAATTTTTAAAAACCAATATCTACAATTTAAATGCTTTCGCAGATTTTAATAATCGGAATTTTATAACTAAAGTGTAAAATCAAAATAGTTAAAAATTTTATATTGTGAATTACTTTATAAACAGTAAAAGAACTATTATAAAAAAAAATTTTGTCTCAATAAATTAATAATTACTCTCATATTTAACCGTAAAAAGTGCGGGCTCAAAAACTATTTTTTGGGAATTTATTCGTGCTTAACATCAATTAAGGAAGTTCAAAATGTAGATTTCGTTCAAAGAACGTAATACACAACGTGAAAGTACATTCTCACATCAGACTTAAATAAAAACTTCTACGTTTCTACAACTTCTCAAATTTAAGAAATAAATTAATTTCTCTTTATCAATGCTTTCCTTAGTATTTATCAATAACTCCCAAAATTTAGAAATACTCATAATTATTTATAAAAAATTTGCATTATTATAAATTTCCCGTTTTGCACTTCTCTGTTCACTTTAATGAGAGGTAGGGTACTTCTTCGCATATAAATTGTTAGAATATATCCTTGTCTAAACTTACAGTACTTTCAGTCTGTGAGCAATGTCTCACAGGTCCATACTTAGTATAAAATATTCCGAAGGTTTATATAAGAGCAGTATCTTAGCTTGAAGAGACTTTTATATATCAATACTGTTTTAGAAAAAAAAAAAAAGTTTACTTTTTAATTTGCCAAGATAAGGTAGGTCTTGAGTTGCATTTTATTTTTCCTGATGCTGTTTTAAAAATCAAACTGACAGTCTCCCATTTGGACTATAATTATTTTTTTTTTTTTTTGCTTCACCATAGCGTTCTTCTATGAAAGTCTTATCATCGCTATTGATAACCGAATACGCTTCCTTTGTAAGTTGAAGGACGCTTCAATATTATTTATCGGTTAAGGATAATTCCATAAGGTATGCATAATTATCCTTTTATTAAACTTACGTATTTGTTAACGATTAGGTTTTTATTTATATCATTGATAACACATGTATCATTAAAAAGTGGATCAGTGAATAATCGTTGCCTCTTCGATTAGTGGATACTCTTCAAAAGCCGTGATGCGTGGATCAAGTTAGCTGAGAGAATATTTTATTCGAACAATCCCAATACTTGCTAAACCAGTAAACCTTATAACAAGAAATACTACAAACAGATGACGCAGGCACGATGTTTACACGCGTATTAACGGGAGAAATATTCTTGTTAAATTACAATTTACTTAAAAGAAATTTTAGATTTTAAAAATATAATTTTTTCTGAATTAAAAATACGCCAATGTAAATATTTATTTTATTTAAAAAAAAAAGGAATAATATTATAAAAAAAGAAGAATGAAGACTTCATTTATAAACGAAATGGTAATCTAAATCTTCCGGTTTATGATCGGGCTCTCATTTATAAACGAAATGGTAATCTAAATCCTCCGGTTTATGGTCGGACTCAAAGGTACGTGAATAAATTTGTTGGGGTGTTGAATTATTATAGATAGGTGGAAGGGAAACATCATTGGTTTCATTAGGATTATTTAAGAACCACGGGAACGACGGAAGAGTTTGAAGACCATTCAAAATTGATGAAATTCTTGCATAATAATTTGAGGAATAACGCAAGAGGATGGGGCTAGAAGATGCCCACCTACCATATGTTTGAGGATTAATGGATGTTCTCCCATCATGCGTTTGAGGATTTGGAATGGTAGCGGATGCCTTTTCATCATGAGTTTGATCACTTTGATGACCATCACCATTATCATATGTTTGGGGATCATTCAAAATTGAAGTGATTTTTGCGTAATGATCGGAGAAAGGTGGACTAGAAGATGGCCTTCCATCATGCGTTTGAAAATTAAGAATGATAGCGGATGCCTTTCCATCATGAGTTTGATCACTTTGATGACCATCACAATTTTCATATGTTTGAGGATCATTCAAAATTGAAGTGATTTTTGCGTAATGATTGGAGAAAGGTGGACTAGAAGATGGCCTTCCATCATGCGTTCGAAAATTAAGAATGATAGCGGATGCCTTTCCATCATGAGTTTGATCACTTTGATGACTATCACCATTATCATATGTTTGAGGATCATTCAAAATTGAAGTGATTTTTGCGTAATGATTGGAGAAAGGTGGACTAGAAGATGGCCTTCCATCATACTTATCACTCAAGTCCAAGTGTCCAGAATTTTGCGAGGCGAAACCTACAAAAAAAGAAGAAATGGTTAATAAAAACTTGTTTCTTTAATTAAAAAAAAAATGGAGTTTCTCAAACTTACCACGCGCTTCCAGGGCGAAATCATGTACTTGAGCATTAGGGATGGGAGGGAATGTCTTTACACCGTCACTATCGTGTGTTTGAGCTTCGAGTGATAGATTATAGATTGTAGCCCCTCCAATAGATCTAGAAGGTGCCTTTTCTTTACTACTATGGTGCGGTGGTGCATAATATAATTGACTAGAGGAAGCAGCGGCAGGTCCCACTTTATTTCCAACTTTTTCTAGTTCATTTATTTTACTAAAAAAAAGAAAAGAAAATTGTTGGATATATATTTTTTGTATTCAAAGTTGTAAAATAAAATAGTATACGTACTGGACTTGCTTAGGGGTTCCACCAAGGATTTTTTCTTGTTCTTGAGTTGATTTATAAATTCTACGAGAGAGTTGGTTCTGATTTTGTGACGACATTTTTTACTAAAAAAGTGGTAGGTTTTTTAATTATTATTTGAATTGTGATTTTTTTTCTTCAAAAAATTTTTTGAAATGAGAAATAAAAAATGGAAATAAACCTTTTTTTATAAGTCTTTTTTTTTTTGTTATGAAATTTGAACAGTTCCTAATCAAATGTAGTTAGTATTATGTTTAGTTTTTACTTTTTTGATTTCTAAACTAATATATAATGTATTATACAATATATAAACTTATCAATTTATGTATGATGAATGTTGCGGGTCGGACCGAACCATTCAATTAGAGTAACATTGTAATATTAGATAAACTCTTGAATCTTGCATTTATTTACATTATTAAATAAATTAAATAACAACAAATGATTTCATAACATCATGTGAATGAATAGATAACCTTTTCACTGATAATCGTCTTAACTAAAAACATTTGTCTCAAAACAAAAATGCAACGTGATCAAGGTTTTAGACTTGTTTTGTAAGAAGAGGAGGCGTGAGAGTAATCAATTTTTTTGTGAATGAAGATGCGAAAGGTTTCTCCGGGTTTTTTCTGGAAAAAGACGGAACTTTAATATACTAATTTGAAATATTTAGTCATTTGATTTTTTTGCGAATCCGAAACTGTATACAGTATACTAACAAAATATTTCTTAATCGATACATGGCCCACAATATTTTTCTAAAAAATCTAATGTTTTTTTTAAAAAAAAAAAAAAAAAAAATTTAAAAAAAAATATTCATAAAAATATCAAAACAAGCACTCTTCACTCCGGAGGTTGATAATACTATCATAAAACTTATGAAAGTGTTTAAAAATTCTTCCCGCTGTTATGTGAAAAATTAAACAATAACATGGCATTGATTTTGGACAACGAATCCGTCAGCGAGGTAAGATGATACATTATTTACAATTACAGTATATAGTTCTTTCTTTATTTATTTATTTTACCTGGGGTTATTATAATTTAGTTGAATAACCAACCTAAATTATAAGTTTTTTTTATGGGTTTTCTTTAGTTTGAATTTACTATAACTCAATAAAAAAATTTTGTTTTTTTGCTTGTCGCGAACCTCTTGATCATTTGACTTATGCTGAGGCTGCAGTTACTGCGGCTACTGCGGCAAAATATAAAATATCGAATTTAATTATGTTGAAAAAAAAATCCAGTTATTCCGGTAAATTGCGCTCTGAAAATACGGTAAAATCTTTGTTATCCATGTTTTAATTCGGAAGTTGAATTGCTGTTACGAAAGATGAATAGAAGGAGGGAAAGAAGAAGAGGAGGAGGGAGGAGAAGAAGTAGAGAAGAGGAGAGGGAGACGTTTCAAAACGTGATTTTCCACACCAAATTATGTTGGTCGAATAAATCAACTGCGCCGATCTATTCCCTTCATTAAGTAAAAAAGTATTACTATTATTAAGACTTTAATTATTTTTTTTTATTATTTGATTATCTTTTCCTATAAAAATTTCCTGTTACTTTAAAATGATCATTTATTTATTTATTATTATTATTATTTTACAATGAGATAATCTTAGAAAGGTATGAATTGAGGCTTACTCGTAAGTGAATATTACGAGGAATCATTCAATTCAATTCAACCTTTCAAACGTTAAAGGTTTATATTAAAGATTACAGCGAGAAATATTAATTTCATTGTTACCTTGAATCAAATACCCTTCCTAAAAAGATAAAATCAAAAATAAAATATCTAAAAAAGGGAACTCATAACATTTTATCTCTCGTTCCTAGAAATTCATCCTAATTCAAGAAAAAAAGAAAAGTAAAGTTAGTTAGATTTAACAAATGAAACAAAAATTACTTCAAAATTAAGTTGACCAAATATAATACCTCAAAACCATTCCAAGAAGCTTCCTAAAGAGAACAAATAAACGAAATGATGTAAATGTAATTCATTAAAAAAGTGAGTTAGAAGTTGAACGAACATACTTAAAAGAATCTATATAATATGTTCCTAAAAAAAAAAATAATTCCTTCACCAAAACTAAGAGTAAATGTATGACAATTTCTTGTGACTTTTGTAAAAAAATAATTTTTTTACTTACTATTTATAATTTCATGTATAAAACATGAAATTTCTGAGTTCATCAATACTTATTGTGGAGTTGACATATTTTGGAATTAGGAAACTCAGTTCAAATCTATAGAGCCTGCAAAATATCAATTTTTGATACGCATTTCAATCATTTAAAATATTTTACATAATGATGTTTTTAGATTTCTTGTTTAATCGTTGCAGTCATAGATATCGAGTAGTATTCTTTGTGTAAAGGAATACAGCACATTGTGTTCAACAACTTCAATGATATCAATCACTGACAAGGTACTCAATCAGATGGTACTATACGGACAAGACTATCAAAAGTTACGTTATTGACGCATTTTTAGATAAACAGACATCACAAATCAATTACGGCACTTATGACTGTATAACCTGTATAACGGTCCCATAGAGTAACCATAGATAAGACAAATTAAGAAGAAATTGAATATTTGTTTTTTTTTATAAAAGTACAAATATGTATATATATATCACTATAATACCCGCTAGTGGTTAATATTTCTCTTTTATTTTCATTAAATTTTTTTGAAAATCAATATCTATAATTTAAATACTTTCGTAGATTTTAATAATCAGGATTATAATAATCAAGATCATGACTAAAGTTGTGAGAATTTTATGTTGTGAATTACTTTATAAAAAAGTAAAGGAACTATTATGAAAAAAAAATTTTTTGTCTCAGAAAATTAATAATTACGTAAAAAGTGCAGCCTCAAAACTAATTTTTGGTGTTTAAAACCAATTAAGGAAGTTCAAAATGTAGATTTCGTTCAAAGAACGTAATACACAACGTGGAAGTACATTTCGCATCAAACTTAAATAAAAACTTACCTTGTTTAGTCTACTTTTCTCAAATTTTGGAAATAAATTAATTTCTCTTTATCAATGCTTTCCTTATTATTTATCAATAACTCCAAAAATTTAAAAATATTCGTAGTTACTTATAAAAAAATTTACATTATTATAAATTTCCCGTTTAACACTTCTCTGTTTACTTTTGATGAGAGAGGTACGGTACTTCTTTGCACGTAATTGTTAGTTGTCTATACTTACTTTCAGTCTAAAAAAGTTTACTTTTTAATTTGCCAAGGTAGTCTTGAGTTGCATAATAGAATTTCTTGAGAATCTATGCTTTGCATTTTATTTTTCCTGATGCTGTTTTAAAAAATCAAACTGATAGTCTCTCACTTGGACTAATTAATTTTTTTTGTTTCACCTTAGCGTTTTTCTATGAAAGTCTTATCATTGCTATTGATAACCGAATACGCTTCCTTTGTAAGTTGAATGACATTCAGGACACTTATTTACCAGTTAAGGATAATTCCGTAAGGTATGCATAATTATCCTTTTATAAAACTTACGTATTTGTTAACGATTTGGATCATTGATAATTTATTCATCATTAAAATTGGACCAAAAAGAATATTGCCATCTTTTTGATTCGCGGTTAATACAATTTAATTTGTGGATCAGGGATATTTGATTTGGTCCGGATGATACTTTTGAAGGTAAAAAATATTTAGTTTAATCACAATCATTATTGTGGATTATTAATATATTACTTAAATTAGCACGTGTGTGACAAATGTTAACTCAAGTGATTAACCTATGAATATTTTTTTTATTATTATCTTCAATTAAATTTTTGATTTATTACATATTTTTGAGAAATTTTTAGATCACGATATAAAAAATGCGGCATCTAGGATAATGTTATGAAGAACTAGATTGAAGATTCTACTTACAACCGAAATGGTAATTTTGGAACATCCGGTTCATGGTCAGGCTCGAGGGTATGCAAATGAATTTGTTGAGGTGTAGAATTATTGTAAATAGGTGGAAGAATAACATCATTGGTTTCATTAGGATTATTTAAGACCCACTGGAGTGATGGAAGGGTTGGAGGACCATTCAAAATCGATGGGATTCTTGCATAATAATTAGATGGCCTTCCATCATGCGTTTGAGGATTTGGAATGGTAGCGGATGACCTTCCATCATGCGATTGAGGATTTGGAATGGTAGCAGATGACCTTCCATCATGCGTTTGAGGATTAGGGATGGTAACGGATGTCCTTCCATCTTGAGTTTGATGTCCATCACCATTATCGTATGTTTGAGGATTCAAGATTGAAGTGATTTTGTCGGGTGGTCCAGAGGGTCCAGAATTCTGTAAGGCTGGATCTACAAAAAAAAGGAGGAATGGTTAATAAAAATTTGTTTCTTGAATTAAAAAAAACTGAAGTTTCGAAATAATTTCAAATTTACCACGCGCCCCCAAGGCAGAATCATGTACTTGAGCATTGGGGATGGGAGGGAATATCTTTCCACCGTCACTATCGTGTGTTTGAGCTTCGAGTGGTAGATTATGGATTGTAGCACCTTCAATAGAGCTAGAAGGTGCCTTTTCTTGGCTAGAGGAAGCAGCGGCAGGCCCTGCTTTATTTTCACCTTTTTCTAGTTCATTTATTTTACTAAAAAAAGAAAAAAAAATTGTGGATATATATTTTTTGTACTCAAAGTTGTAAATAAAATGGTATATATATCGTACTGGACTTGCTTAGGGGTTCCACCAAGGATTTTGTTTTGTTCTTTAGTTGATTTATAAATTCTATGAGAGGGTTGGTTCTGATTTTGTGACGACATTTTTTACTAAAAAAGTGGTAGGTTTTCTAATTTTTTATTAAATGCTGATTTTTTTTTTCAAAAAATTTTTTGAAATGAGAAATAAAAAAATGAAAAACAAACTTTTTTATAAGTCATTTTTTTTTTTTTGTTTGCAGCTCCTAAATTGCACAAACAATGATCAAATGTAGTTAATATTGTGTTTAGTTTTTACTTTGTTGATTTCTAAACTAATATATAATGTAATTATACAATATATATAAATTTAACAATTTTCAATAAATGATTTATATTAAAAATATATGCATAATGAATATTACGGATTTAAATTAGCATTGTGTGATATTAAAGTTAAACTCTTGAATCTTGCATAATTATTTACATAACAACAATGATTCATGACATAATAGGCTTTACTGATAATCGTCTTAACTAAAAACGGACTTAATCCATTTCGACGGAAGAATACGGTATGTTTCGACAAATGTGAAACAAAAATGCGTCAACGTGGTGTTAGACTTGTTTGTTAAGAATAGGGGCGTGGGAGTAATCGATTTTTAAATTACAATTTAAAATTTTTTGTGAACGATACTAGAGATGCGAAAGGTTTTTTCCGGAGAAAAGACGGAACTTAACATCATATACTAATTTGAAATATTAGTCATTTGATTTTCTTTTGCGAATCCGATACTGTATACAGTATACTAACAAAATATTTCTTAAGCGATACATGGCCCACAATATTTCTCTAAAAATAAATAAAGCTAATAAACTGTTCCAATTAAAGCGCTGCAAATGCGCCACAATACATTGTACAAAACGTCTGATTTTTCCCCCACTCTTAGTTTTGAATCCTGCATATTTGTTTATTATATATCAGATATAGTCTTATAGTAATAAACAATTCATGTTTATATATCGCCATATATAATAAAAATTTACGTAATAATATACGTAATTTCGATTTAAGCGGAAATGTTTAAAAAAAAATTTCAACCATTGTTTTTTTAAAAAAAAAGAAAAAAAAATTCAAGCATTCTCAATTTTTTCTTTTTTCTTTTTTTCTTTTTTTTTTTAAAAAAAAACTGGTTACAAAACAATAATAAACAATTAATTATTTATTTATATTTTAAACTATTCCAAATATAACAATTACAATAAGGATTTCTTCAGTTTCTAAAAAAGAAAAAAATTTTTTTAAAAAAAACTTCTTAATAATGTCAAAACAAGCTAGAATAGAACTTATGAAAGTGTTTAAAAATTCTTCCCGCCGTTATGTGAAAAATTAAACAACAACATGGCATTATTTATTGATTTTGAACCACAATGAATTCGTCAGCGGGGTAAGATGACCCTCTCGATCATTAAAAATTGGTTGTTTTGCAGAGGCAGTTACTGCGGCTACTGCGGTAAATATAAAATATCGAATTTAATTCTTGAGTTGAAAAACAAATCCGGATATTTCCGCAAATTGCGCTCTGAAAATACGATAAAATCTTTGTTATCCATATTTTAATTCGGAAGCTGAATTGCTTTTGCGAAAGATGAATAGAAGGAGGGAAAGAAGAAGAGAATGAGGTAGAGGAGAGGGAGGAGAAGAAGATGTATTATTATTAAGTGTTACTTTAATTATTTATTTTATTTATTATTATTATTATTTTACAATGTATGAATTGAGGCTTACTCGTACAGGCCTGGTCGCAGATCGACTCACCTGATGATCGGAATGTCATTCCGATCATTAGGTGAGTCATATGCACAATATATAAATCAGGTCGATGAATTTTAGCTGCAAAATGTCGATCTTTCCTAATAAATTATCCAAAATAGTTTTTGTGCGATTGAACTAAAATAAAATTTAGACTTAATAATAATAAAAGAAAATAATACTATTTTCAAAAAATCCATTTTATAACGATTTTTGCTCTGAGATTTAGTAAACCAATTTGCTAATTTGCTTTCAGCAGCAGAACCCTAATACCCATTTTATGCATAGTATCTATAAAAGGGAGATTTTTGACAAAGAAAACTTAGAGTAAATGCTGCATAAAATTAATAATTCTCAAAATCATTCAAAAATTGCGAAAAATGAAAGGAAAGAGAAATGTGTAAAATTATTATATCAATATATATATCAATATATATATACTAAAAGGTTAGAGAATGAAATAATGAAGGAATGAAAATATTCATGCAAAAGATGATAATTTTTTTAAGACACAAAATTTGCCTGATCATCTAACTTTTGATTTATGTATTATATAAGTCTGTTATTTTACACATTATCAGGGTTAATATTATACTTGAATCTCAAAAAATTTTAATGGGAGTTGTTACTTAACTTTAAAATTACAGGGGGTCAGTTACTTATTTTGAGGAACATTTAATTCGATTTATCCTTTCAAACGTTAAAAGGTTTATATTAAATATTATAGTGAGAAGTATTAATTTCATTATTATCTTGAATCAAATATCCTTCCAAAAAAGACAAAATCAAAAATAAAATATCTAAAAAAGGGAACTCCTAACATTTCATCTCTCGTTCCTAGAAATCCATCCTAATTCAAGAAAAAAAGAAAAGTAAAGTTAGTTAGATTTAACAAATGAAACAAAAATTACTTCAAAATTAAGTTGACCAAATATAATACCTCAAAACCATTCCAAGAAGCTTCCTAAAGAGAACAAATAAACGAAATGATGTAAATGTAATTCATTAAAAAAGGGAGTCATCAGAAGTTGAACGAACATACTTCAAAGAATCTATATAAAATGTTCCTAAAAAAGGAATAACGAAAAGTATACCAACAAACTCGTTACAATAAACTAGAATTTGTCCCTAAAAAAAAGAATGACCTACTGTATGAGTACGGACTGAACCAAAACTGAACTTATTTTAAAATTCCTTCACCAAAACTGAGAGTAAACCAATTTCTTGTGACGATTTAAAGAAATTCTAAGCTTTAATCAATAATCGGCATGCATACTACATCATATTAGGAAAGTTCTAGACCGGTCTTGTCTCCTGATCTCCTGATAGGTTAAGTGTAACACAAAATCTTAGTATATTTCTTAGTCCATTTAATCATTTACGCGTTTTCTTTTGTAAAAAATAATTTCTTTACTTACTATTTATAACTTCAGATATGTATATTGGAAAGGAAAACAAACAAAATTTTGTTCTTCACATTTGGAAATTTCGCTAAATAATATGTAGATTTGATGAAATTTCTGAGTTCATCAATACTTAAACCATTTGTGTAGTTATCACTAGTTGACATATTTTAGAATTGGGAAATTAAGTCCCAAATCTATAGAGCCTGCAAAATATCAATTTTTGATACGTATTTTAATCATTTAAAATATTTTACATAATGATGTTTTTAGATTTCTTGTTATTAATTCCAATAGAGAGTCAAAATTTTTTTTATTACCTGTATAAATCGAAAGATAACATTTTTTTCATAGTGCAAATTCTCATTTTGTGGTTTTAATCGTTGCAGTCATCGATATCGAGTAGTATATAAATAATTTTGTAAGAACTTTTGTTCTTTGTTTAAAGGAATACAGAACATTGTGTTCAACAACTTCAATGATATCAATAACTGACAAGGTACTCAATCAGATGGTACTATAAGTGCATGACTATCAGAAGTTACGTTATTGACGCATTTTTAGATAAACAGACATCACTAATCAATTACGGCACTTATGACTGTATAACGGTCCCTTTTCAGTAATGCAGTAATGTTCATCACCCTTTAGATAAGACAAATTAAGAAGAAATTGAATATTTGTCTTTTTTTTCATAAAAGTACAAATATGTATATATATATATATAATCTTGTTCTTCGTTTCAATACCGCCAGTAGTTAATTTTTTCTCTTTTGTTTTCATTAAATTTTTTTGAAATTCAATATTTATAATTAAAATGATTTCGTAGATTTTAATAGTCAAGATTATGACTAAAGTGTGAAAACAGAATAGTTAAAAATTTTATGTTGTGAATTACTTTATAAAACAGTAAAGCTGTAAAGGAACTACTATAAAAAAAAAAAAATTTGTCCCAGTAAAAATTAATAATTACGTAAAAAGCGCAGCTTCAAAACTGTTTTTTGGGAATTTATTCGTGCTTAACACCAATTAAGGAAGTTCAAAATGTAGATTTCGTTCAAAGAACGTAATACACAACGTGGAAGAACATCCTCGCATCAAACTTAAATAAAAACTTACCTTGTTTAATCTACAACTTCTCAAATTTTGGAAATAAATTAATTTCTCTTTATTAATGCTTTCCTTATTATTTATCAATAACTCCCAAAATTTAGAAATACTCGTAGTTACTTAGAAAAAAATTTGCATTATTATAAATTTCCCGTTTTACATTTTTTCTATTCACTTTTAATGAGGATTACGAGTACTTCTTCGCATATGAATTGTTAGAATATAACCTTTTCTATACTCACTTTCAGTCCGTGCGCAATGTCTCACAGGTCCATACTTAAGTGTGAAAGATTCTGAAGGTCACATAAAAGAGGTGTCTTAGCTTGAAGAGACTTTTATATCTCAATACTATTTTATAAAAAAAAATTATTTTTAATTAATTTGCAAGGATGAGGTAGTCTTGAGTTGCATAGCAGAAATTCTAAAGAATCTGTGCTATGCATTATTTTTCCTGACGCTGTTTTCAAAAATCTAACTGATAATCTCTTACTTGGACTAATTAATTATTTTTTTGGCTTTATTCTAGCGTTTTTCAATGAAAGTCTTATCATTACTATTGATAACTGGATATACTTTATAAACTGGACTTCGTTCGGAATGTTTCAAATATTATTTACTGTTAAAGATAATTCCATAAGGTAAACATAATTATCTTTTTATAAAACTTACGTTTTGTTAACGATAAGGTTTTTGTTTTGATCATTGATAATTTGTGTATCATTAAAAGTGGACCAAAAAGAATATTTTCTTCGCGGATGATACAATTTAATTTGTGGATGGATATTTGATTCCCGGCTGATACTTTTGAAGGTAAAAAATATTTAGTTTTTAAAATCACAATCATTATTTTAGATTATTAATATATTACTTAAATTAGCACGTGTGTGACAATTCATAGTTTAATCACTTGGAAAAATTCGAATTCATTTTTTTTTTTATTATTTATATGATATCTTCAATGATTTATTTACATGTTTTTGAAAAATTTTTAGATCACGGCATAAAAAATGCGGCATCTAAGATAATGTTACGAAGAACTAGATTGAAGATTCTATTTACAACTGAAATTGTAATTTTGGTACATCCGGCTCATGGTCAGGCTCGAGGGTACGTAAATGAATTTGTTGAGGTGTAGGATTATTGTAAATAGGTGGAAGAATATCATCATTGCTTTCATTAGGATTATTTAAGACCCACTGGAGTGATGGAAGGGTTTGAGGACCATTCAAAATTGATGAGATTCTTGCATAATAATTAGAGGGGTAATGCGAGAGGGAATGCGTTTGAGGACCATTCAAAATCGATGGGATTCTTGCATAATAATTAGATGGCCTTCCATCATGCGATTGAGGAATTGGAATGGTAGCGGATGACCTTCCATCATGCGATTGAGGAGTTGGAATGGTAGCGGATGACCTTCCATCATGCGATTGAGGAGTTGGAATGGTAGCGGATGACCTTCCATCATGCGATTGAGGATTTGGAATGGTAGCGGATGTCCTTTCATCATGAGTTTGATGACCATCACCATTATCGTATGTTTGAGGATCATTCAAAATTAAAGTGATTCTGGCGTTTTGATTAGGTGGACTAGAGAGTCCGGAATTCTCTAGGTTTGAATCTATGAAAAAAAGAAGAAATGGTTAATAAAAGCTTGTTTCTTTAATTAAAAAAAACTGAAGTTTCAAATAAATTCAAATTTACCACGCGCCTCCAAGAAAAAATCATGTACTTGGTCATTGGGGATGGGAAGGAATGTCTTTCCGCCGTCACTATCGTATGTTTGAGCTTCAAGTGGTTGAGAACTAGAAGGTGCCTTTTCTTGGCCAGAGGAAGCAGCGGCAGGTCCTGCTTTATTTTCATTTTTTTCTAGCTCATTTATTTTACTAAAATATAAGTAAAAAAAAAAAGAAAGAAAAAAAACAATAATAATAAAAATAATATTATTAATAATAATTATTAAATATATTTTTATTTTTTTAAATAGTAAATAAAATAGTGTCGTACTGTTCTTGCTTAGGGGTTCCACCAAAAAGTGTTTTTGATTCTTGAGCTGTTTTAAAAGTTTTAAGGTATTGATTAGACATCTTGAAAAGTGGTTTCAGAAAAATTTAAGAATTTTTTGAATGATAAAAAATTTTAAAAGAAAAGAAGGAAAAAAAAAAAAGAAAGAAGCCCCCCCCTTATATCTTTCTTGATCATTGTTCGCCGATTAATAACTAAATTGTCAAACAAAGAAAATATAAACCCAAAAACATATAAATATATTTACCAAATAATGAAATATATTAGGTATGTAAATATAGTTTATTATATTAAACATTCAAGCCACACCACGCGAGATTGTGAATTATTATCATTATTTATATTATATAATGACATCATTCTGATTAATAAATAAACTTATTACGGATCCGAATTTGACAATCGGTTTGACCAAAAACGGACTTAATTATGGTTTTGAAACAAAAAAAAAAAAAAAAAAAAAAAAAAAAA